ATCTGCTACCCCCGTCCACCCCCTCACTGCAATTCTCACATTCCAATTCCTCATTCTCAGCCTGTAATGCAGCATAAAGTGGCATCAGGTGCATAACTGAGACGGAAGAGCACGAGAAGACCGTTGATTTATTTGCACTTGTTTAAACCACTGCGAGCTATTCAGGAGGTGCTAAGTTTAAAATGCAAGCAGGTACAACCGCAGTAGACTGGGATTTACTATTTGTAATCTGAGCCCAATTCAGGGGCAGAAGTTTTTTTACGTGACCAACGACTACCCAAACGATTGTTTTACAGTGATGTCACTATGGGCGCTCGGCGTAAAGAAGGACAAAATAGGTGTTACAAAGACACTCTGAAGAACTTTCTCAAGCGTCTTCAAATCAACATGGCGACCTGCGAGGAACTCGCACAGGACCGATCTGCTTGTCGAAGAACTGTGAATACAGATGCAGCTATCTGCGGAGCCAGTCGGATCACCGTCGACTTCAATGTTCGCCTCGAATCCTTGGTAACGAAACGAATTAGCTCGTATGACCACGTTGACAGCCTAAGTGTTGAGGTGCCGCCTAATCAGACAATGGGGTATAAGAGCACTCCTAGCTTGCTGACCTTTGGCAGGCCGTAGACGCGCGTGATCGTGGCATCGGTGACATTTGTGGTCAGCGCTCCCCTTTTTGAGGGCTTTTACCTTTGTCAGCCTATCGATCATCTTCTTCGTGCTATTCACAAGCATTTTGAACTCGTTTAATATGTGATGGAGCATAGGAATCTTGGTCCATCAAGAGGTTGTCCACTTCCAACAAATTATGATAATTTGCATCAACATCCTACTTTTAGACCAACTCCTACGTTTCCCAACCTACAATATAGGCTTCCTTTCTTTGGATTTCCTGCAAATATGCTGTTGTATACTAATCCTAGTTCATTTAACAACAACATGTCAGCAACTCGCGGACCAGAGCAGTTTTGTTTTCAAAAAACGTTGGTGCACAGGTTTGTAGAGTTTGCATGCAACGTTTGTCGCGTCCGTTATGGTACAGGAGGAGGCGGATTCGGTGCCCGCAGGGCAACTTTGCAGCACGACTAATTCGAATGTCAGTCGTATAATCGCATCCTCCTTTGGAGGTATGATCGCCTCCCTAGCAGTGACCCCTTTGGACGTTGTAAAAATCCGCATGCAGGCTGCCTCGAGAATATCATCCTGCGAAAAATGTTTTCTTTACTGTAACGGTCTGATGGATCATCTATGCGCCTCCCTGAACTCTGCGTTCCACACCCATGGCCCATGGTACAACCACACAACGGCCTCCAGAACAGCTTGGGAGGCGCTCAGCAAAATTGTAAAGTCTGAAGGTATCCTGTCCCTCTGGAGTGGTCTTTCGCCAACATCGGCCATGGCTCTCCCACAGACCGTTGTGTGTTGTGTGTGTTATGTGGCTTAAAGAAAAAATAAGGTATACACAGAGCGCATCTAAGTAGAATTTGCATTATGGATGCTTCTCCTCCAATGATTTCGTACCTGCAGTTGTCGGAGCTCTATCCAGGACAGTCGTTGTTTTTGCCATTTCGCCACTTGAACTTCTGCGGACCAAACTCCAGTCACAAAAAATGAGCTTTACCAACATCTGCGACGTCCTGCAGTCGACTATAAATAGCAGTAGTTTCCGCAGCTTGTGGATAGGGATGGGCCCAACCTTTTTTCGCGATGTACCCTACTCAGCCATTTTTTGGTTAGTCGACGACTACAACAAGTACAGATATCTGCCTAAAGTCATCGAAATCACTCCTCTTTTCGAACCAATCACTCGTCCAATTCCGAGTTTCTCCTCGGCCTTCTTCTTTGGGGCATGTGCTGGTTTTACCGCTGGCGTCATAACACACCCATTTGGCGTTGTTAAGACGCATCGTCAAATCGAGCTGAGCGGATCCATCTTTGGAAACC